TTTTTATATATATTTGGTATTTTTTTGAAATAAATAAATATATTATTTGAATAAAATTTAATGAGTTTAATTAAACTTATATGATAACTAGCTCTGATCTGTTCTTAATTATAAAATATTTTTTTAAAAATCGTGAATTATATATGATATATATATAACAATAAATCATAGTATCGCTTTGATATAACCATATAAATAAATACAATTTCGTACAAACATCGTCGATAAAATTTTAACCTAATAAATAAAAGGGTATGAATTAACTATGTAGCTCTTTATTACTTCATTTTTCTCATTTAAATAATTAAATTCATCCATATTTTTCTAATAGGGAAAAATAGAAAGTAAGAATAATCTAATACACATTTGTTTTTTAGCTGAAAATGACAATCATTTTTATTTTTATTTTTTTTTACAATATGGTAGAAAAAAACCATACTTTTTGTTTGTTAGCAAAAACAGAAAGTGAATTTTCCAGTTTTATTTTCTCAACGTGCAATATTGTCATAATATCTATTATTGGTAATTTTACGGACTTACACTTGCAGTTTTACTCACAGTAAAAAACCATTATAACACGTAACAAACAATTTTCAAGAAAAGCCTGCAAATATATATTTACAGTATCTGCAAAACACTGCAAACCTTTTTCTACACACAATAATAATAATAATAATAAACAATAATAATAATATTAATAATCATAATGAAATACTCATAGACAGAACAAAAGCATCTGTACTGAACAACGTTTTGTAATTTTATTTTAAAGGGTCAAATATGCCTCTAAATTATTCGAAAAGGTTTAGATATATTCTCCGTTTAAAGTTTGATCTATTTATATCTTCGCTGTCCAACTTTTGATCTAAATATGCCCTTTTGGGCGTTAGTTGGCCAACTCGAAATATCCAACTCATTTTACTTTTATTTAAATGTCAAATGAATTTTTCACGTCATTTTTATGTATTATCACTTGAATTTATATTCAAGGGAAAAGGGTCAAATATTCCCCTAAACTATTCAAAAGGTCTAGATATACCCCCGTTTAAAGTTTTGTCAATTTATACCCTCGCATCCAACTTTTTGTCTGCATATACCCTTATGGGTGTTAGTTGGTCAACTCGAAATATCCAACTTATTTTACTTTTCTTTAAATGCCAAATGGGATTTCACATCATTTATATATATATATATATATATATATATATATATATATATATATATATATATATATATATATATATATATATATATTATCACTTGACATTTATATTAAAAGAGAAAGGGGTCACTTATGCCCTAACTATCCGACCCAATTTTAAAACACATATACGACCATCTTTTAAACGGTTCAATTATGCCCCTAATCCGACTCATATATGTGTGAATTATTCTATTAGTTACATCATCATCGCCTGTTGCAGCTTGCAGTTGTGTCTGTAATGTTGTTGCGGTGAATTTCTCCGCTCTAGCCCTTGTCTGCCAGGTTTGCGCCTCCAGCTCTGCGTTGCGCCAAAACGCTTTTCAAACCTCGACTTCCTTTTCCTTCAGTTGTCGTGCCATTGATTCCTCGGCGGTTTCAATCAGAGCACGATAATGTTTGCCATTTAAATACTTCAATAATGCCTAATCCGACTCGTATAGGACATTTGAAAAAAGGGGTCGGGTTGTATAGATTATTTAAAAGACGGGTTGTATATGTGTTTTAAAATTAAGTCGGATAGTTAGGGGCATAAAAGACCCCTTTCTCTTTTAATATAAATGTCAAGTAAAAATATATAAAAATGATGTGGAAAAAATCCATTTGGCATTTAAAGAAAAGTAAAATGAGTTGGATATTTCGAATTGACCAACTAACACCCATAAGGGCATATGTAGACTAAAAGTTGAATGGCGAGTGTATAAATTGACCAAACTTTAAACGGGGTATATCTAGACCTTTTTGAATAGATTAGGGGCATATTTGACCATTTTTCCTTGAATATAAATTCAAGTGATAATACATAAAAATGACGTGGAAAATCCATTTGGCATTTAAATAAAAGTAAAATGAGTTGGATATTTCGAGTTGGTCAACTAACGCCAAAAAAGGCATATGTAGACCAAAAGTTGGACGGCGAGGGTATAAATGGACCAAACGTTAAACGGGGATATATCTAAACCTTCTCGAATAGTTTAGGGGCACATTTGACCCTTCTCCCATTTTTTATATTTGTATGAAAAGTTCAATTAAATTTAAATTACAATGAAAAGTGTATATTAAAAGTGTATCTGTATGAATAAAGATATTTGTCATTTTCTCCGAAAATTAGTAAGAGACCGTTTGTGAGTTGGTTAGAACTTAAAAATATATGAATGAGTTATGAGATACGAGAAAATTTATGAAATTTTATATATGTATTAGTTATGAAAGATTTAATTATACATATACTAGTCATGCAAATTCTTAAATTTAAATTAATATTGTATTACCTAGAGGTAAAATACTGCTACCATCTAATAAAAATAATTTCATATTCAATATAATTCAAACTCAAACTTTTAATTAAGAACGAAATAAATATTTATTATTTTATCACAATATTTGGGTACTTTCCTTTTTCGCTCTAAAATAAGCCAGTCTAATTAATCACATATACTTTGTTCTAAAATAAATGTTATTTACAAAATTTAAGATTAAAGTTAATACATTTTCCTATCTTTACCTTTCTACTCCTAAATAAAATACACCCAACTGCTTTTTTATAAATATATATATATCACACCATTTATCCTATATTTAATTGTCATATTTAATATAATTTATCACGCTATTTAAATTATAGTGATGAAATAAATTTTTTTAAATATATATAATAAGATAAATATAATAAAATAAATTATTCTAAAATAGCTAATTCACGATGATTCGTTTCAGCCAAACGAGTCCTCATTTAAAAATGGCAAGATTATTCACGAAATGCTACTAAGTACTTGTGCTACAGGCTAAAGCCCTAATGGTATTTCTTTTGCCTCGGGAAGTGCATCATTACATTACATTAAATATTTCACATTTATTTTTCTAACATAAAATCTATAACACTGTTTTCTCATCCAAATTAAGATCAGAGAATCTTATGTTATAATTAATGAATACGGAATATAGGTATATCATGATATAAATTTTCAATCATTATAAATTGAATTTTTAAGGGTTTTTTTTTCCATTGTTGTATTTATATTCATACGAAATTGAATAAATTTGAATTTATCTATAAAAATTTTACATTAATAATAAATCGAAACCTGACATAGGCAAATAATTTTAATACGATTCCACATTGATTGATTTTTTTAAAATTTTAACGTGTGTTAACACTTAATCATAACATAAATAAATTAACCATTAATGAAAATATATCACTTTCTTTCCTCGTATAGATTAGTCGTAATAAGTTGTGAAACTTGAGGCCTGTTTCATTTGATTATGATAATTGATATGTATATTTGAAGAAAATATCATATTTTATAGAGTAAAATTTACTATTGGTATAATAAATTAAAGAAAAAATTGTATATAATGACAAATTAATAAATTAAATTAATTGTTATAATCATCCTTTGATTTAATTATGTATCGTAGTAAACTATTTGTCAAGCCATCTCTCTCCCTCAAACTCTCGCTTGCCACTCTCCTCTTCTCGCTCCATCTTTCGCTCGCCAGTCTCCTCTGTCGCTTCATCTCTCATCCGATTCCTCTCACTTTTATACAAACACAACGGTATAAAAATATAAAATCTGTTTCTATTTGTATAAATCAGAGAAAATTGTATAAATACGTATATTTTTGTTCTCCTCTCTCCCCTCTCCTAGATATCGCTCGCCACTCTCCCTAATCTCACTCGCCACCCTCGCCTCTCTCGCTTATACAAACAGAAGTGAAATGTATAAATTGTATTTCTGTTTGTATAAAGCGAGAGAAAATTGTACATACACATGCAAGATACATATATTTTCGTTCTATACAGTTATAATTATACAATAAAATTATTCCTCTGCCTAGTTTCTTTTGCCTTTCTTTCTTTCTCGTTTTATAAAAGTTCAAATTGTATATAATTTTTCTCTTTCTCGTTTTATACAATTCGATTCAATTGTGAATTATCTGCCCAAGTATCTTTTGTCTTTCTCTCCTTTTCGTTTTATACAATTCGATTCAATTGTGTATTCCGTGCGCAAGTCTCTTTTGACATTCTCTCTTTCTCATTTTATACAAATACAAATTGTATATAATCGTTCTACACACTAATTATACAATTTGTTTTATACGCTTTGTTTTTATGCAATTCTCTGCCAAATCTCTTTCTCTTTCTCATTTTATACAATTCACTTCAATTATATAGGTATAACGAATTATACATTTATATGTTTGCTATGAAGCATAGTTAACAAATATAAATTTTATGTTTGCTACATGTGAAAGTTGTCCAAAATTAAAAATATCTAAATAAGACTAAATAAGGACACATAACATAATTCTATCCTTCAATTTGATATTTAATAAATATCGAATTCGTGAACAAAATTATGACTCATGTATACCCATTAACATAAAAGGTATATATACGCTAGTTTTTGAACGATAAAAGCATCAATATCCCAAGAATATAAAAAAAAATACCTGCATACTAACTTTAATTAAAAAATATATTTATCCTTTTTTTCTTCGTAATTTAAATCTTATTTTTTCACTAATACCATAGCAATTTAAGCATGTGGATTCTATCCATTAACCTATTATATGACTAAAATATACTAATTTGCGTATTTGTACTACTAAAAAAATGTTGGAATCTGTAAAGATGTTTTTAAAAAAGATTTTATTGGGACTCTAAAATGCCCAAATTGACAGAGGGGGTCAAATTTACAATAATGAAAAAAGCTGAGAGGCTAAATCTGAAACTCAGGCGTTATATTAAATTACTAGTAGTACTACTACTATACTTTAATTTAATATAAAAACTGTACTCATACGCAATCTCTTTATTGAAAAATTTAGCTTCAAGAAAAATACAGACAATTTTATTTTGGGAAAGAAGAATTTATTTTTTAAGGTGTTGAAGTTAGTGGAGAAGGGAAAAAAAAAATGCAAGCTTTCAAAGAAGCAGCTGTTATTAATAATAATAATAATAGTAATAGTAATAGTAACTCTAGTATGTATTGCCACTCAAGTTATTACCTCAGGTATCATATATATATATATATTTTTTTTTTTTTCAATTTGACTTGTGCATGTTTTTGTGGGGTTTGTGTTTTCTTGGTTTTAAGTTGTTGTATGAGAGAAGGGGGCATAAAAAGATTCAATTTTTATTGTTTTGAGCTTGGTTTTTGCATGTTTATGGAGTTTAAGTTATTGTGTTAGTAAAGGGGTTAAAAAGATTCAATTTTTACATGTCTTTTTCAGCTTGATTATGTGGGGTTTAAGTTTTCTTGGATTTCAAGTTCTTGTATGAGTGAAGGGGCATACCAAAGATTCAATTTTTATTGTTTTGAGCTTTATTTGTGAATGTTTATGGAGTTTAAGTTCTTGTATGAGTGAAGGGGCATACACAAGATTCAATTTTTATTGTTTTGAGCATTATTTGTGAATGTTTATGGAGTTTAAGTTCTTGTATTAGTAAAGGGGTTAAAAGGATTCAAATTATATATTTTTTTTTCAGCTTGATTAGTGCATGTTTTATGTGGGCTTCATGTTTTTATTGGTTCTTCAGTTTTTGTATGAGTTAAGGGCATACAAAGATTCAATCTTTATTGTTTTGAGATTTATTTATGCATGTTTATGGAGTTTAAGTTCTTGTGTTTTCATGTTTTATATGTTTTCAACTGGGGGCGAATCCAGACAGGACCGAGGGGTTCATCCGAATCCCTTTTGGTGGAAAATTACACCGGTTCTACATTGTTAAAATTATTTTTTATATGTCTATAGAGTAGATAATGGTCCCTCTTTGGCTTCTTAGTGAGTTTACTTCTTCATATTTTCAATCTCTGGATGAAAATCCAAGCTCCTCCCCTATTTTCAGCTTGATTTGTGCATGTGTTTGATGATTTCTTGGGTTTTAAGGTTCTTGTGTGTTAAAAGGGATTAAAAGATACAAATTTTTATGTGTTTTATACAGAGGTGATGAAGATAGTAGACTTGCAGCACGCTTTGCTGATATTGGAGAACTTGAACAGTCTACAGGATTCACTCAAGATGATGCTGTTGATTTAAGTAGAAGTATACATTTTTTTTCTTTTATCATCTCCCCACCAAACAATGTCTCAATTGTTTTTGATTTCTTTGATTGTGACCTTAAAAAGACAATATTTTTGCTGTTTTTTGGTTTCTTGATAGGTACTGTATATGGTGAAATGAGGCCAAACAATGTTGGTATTGTTTCTTGTAACAACAATAACTTACACTTTGGTGAACTTAATACGGTAAGAGTAAAAAAGATCAATCTTTGTAGTGTGTGGATTTTTTTAATTTTTGTATTTATGAGGTTGACGTGTTTGAAAATGGAAATTGCAGAGTATTGGTTCATCTGAGACAGGGGTGGAGACAGGGAGGTTTATGTTGCAGAAGGCACAAACAGGAATGGTGGGTGGTGGAGGAGGGGGTGGGGGTGTTGTAGGTGGTGGTGTGGCATTGGGAAATGTGCAGCATTTTGAGAATTGGGGTGATTCTGGTATTGCAGACCATAGCCAGCAGACTGACACTTCAACAGATGTTGATACTGATGAAAGAAACCATCAGGTTTTTAGCCCGTACCCCAAATGGAAACTGCATTTTTTTTTGACATTTAGCAATAGTTCATCCTTGTCTTTTTCTCCTTAAGGGGAGGGAAAATGCGTTACGGACAGCGGGAATCTTAGTAGCTATATTGGTTGATTACTTTAACTTTCACGTTATTGATGATGGTTTGATTCCCCTACCCCTATTTTTTTTTAAACAATGTGGTATAGATGGTGAGATTCATGTAGTCGACCCCAATGAAAGTTGCAATTTTTGGCGTTAAGCCATTAGTCCATCCTTGTCTTTTTTCACCTGAAAAGTAGGGATAAAGTGATTGTGATATAACCTAATATGATTCATGTAGTCCACCCAATGAAAGTTGCAATGTTTGGCATTAGGCAATAGTCTATCCTTTGTCTTTTTTTTTCCTTTTTCTCTTAAAGGGAGGGATAATGCGATGTAGACAATGAAGGTTCATGTAGTCGACCCCAATGGAAGTTGCAATTTTTGACATTTAGCTGTAGTCCGTCCTCGTCTTTTTTCCCCTTAATGGGAGGGATAGTTTAACACAATGAAAGGTGCAATTTCTGGCATTAAGCAATAGTCGATCCTTGTCTTTTTTCCACTTCTAAAGAGGGATAATGCGAATGTGACTCACCAGCCCAAGATATTCAGATAACAAAGTACTTCCTCTGTCCTAATATATGCAGCAAAGTTTGGATTTCAAGAATCAATAATAGAAACTTGAAACTCCAGTTCAATTATTTAATCTCAAGTTATAGTGGAGTTTCAAGTTTCTATTATCGATTTCACACTTTTTTTGGGTTATGGAGATGTGTTAATTTCACTTATCTGCGGTTGAACTAACTCAGCTTGGTAGGGTATCATTTGTATCGAATGTCGCTCCAAAATCACGTGTTAATGAATTCAATATAATATTGACTAATTTAACAAGCCTGTGTAAATAATATCTTTGGAATTTAATGGATTGTTGGGTTGGAAAGTGACTTGAGAAATCTTCTATAAATGAACCTGTTGTTTTGCCCTTGAATTTGTTTGAACGAATTAAGTGTATCGTATTCGCACCTAGAGGGGACCGCTCGACGCAAGGGGGATTTGATGCATCTGGAAATGATTTGATATCTCTATATGAACTGTTTGCATTTATTTCATTTTGTGTTGTAGGGCCAAGGTGTTCAGCATGGTGCATTAATAGCTGTGGACTCCATGGACCTGTCCAAAGTAAAGCTTGGAGACCAGAAGGTTGTTGTACTGGTTTACTCTTATCTCTTTATTCCAACGGTTAACCTATTGCATCAGTTGTTACATATTATTACCGTATTTACTTTACTTAGCTTATTTGCAGACACTTCGCAGGCTGGCTCAGAATCGAGAAGCTGCTAGGAAAAGCCGATTAAGGAAAAAAGTAATATATTTACCTTTTGCAATATTTTAAATGAGATTGATTTGGCACATTCCCATTACTGATACTTTTCGTCCTTCTGATTGTTATGTACAGTTCTGTAATTGTATTTGTGTTTAGCTCACTTTAGTTTGCAACTGTGTTGTGTCGTATAACTTCCATCAGAAAATGTATACATTAATGTGTACATCGCATTTAGAATTATATTATTGTCAAATAGATGCATACATTTGCAACAAACAAATAAGGTGTTCACTCACACATTACATGTCCAAGATATAGTTCAACACTATAAGTAGGAGAAACAGATGCAATTTGTGTAATAGTTTCACTGTTTGTAATTATAAATAGCACGATATGCTTCGTATGGTTTCATATCATGCAGGGGAAAGAGGGGGGTGGGGGTGTATTTTCAATTTATGCAAAATTACCAAGATATTGTCACAAGTGAGGTGGTTGGCTGACAGCATTATATTGTTAAACATGGTTATATTTTAAGCTTATAGCTTAATGTTAGGCAGTCCGAGATGTTGATCATTGATGATCAATATATTCATACGTCTACCTATATATGCTTGATGTTTAAATGATTATTAGGTTTTTGTTTTGCACAGGCATATGTTCAACAGCTGGAGAATAGTAGGCTCAAACTGTCACAGTTAGAGCAAGAGTTAAAACGAGCCCGCCAACAGGTATACCTCTTCCTCTACAACTTGTAAGTAGAGGACCGTTTTATTGTATCCGTTATCTTGAAAGAAACTAGTGAAGTTTCAAAACTTATGAAACTTCTACGTAGTAAAAATGAATTGCTTGGATGCAGGGCATATTTATTGCTAATGGATATGCAGGAGATCAGAGTCTTTCTGCTGGTGGAAATGGTAAGTTTTCTGGCCTTGCTAGCATTCATTACATGTCAAATTTTCACGAGGAAATTGATGTTTTTGGTCTTGTGTTTCAATCTGATTGAAGAACTTATCAAGAGTATTTTTGATCGATTTATGACCTGGCGTTGTGTTAGTCATGAATGGGGGGTAATTGTGATACTTGTACAGGGGCATTGGCATTTGACATGGATTATGCACGTTGGCTAGATGAACATCAACGACTTATCAGTGATCTCCGATCAGCTGTAAATTCTCACAGGGGCGATAATGAACTGCGTCATCTCGTTGATGGAGTAATGTCACATTATGACGAAAAATTCAAGCTAAAGAGTGTAGGTTTAAAAGCAGATGTTTTTCATATGCTGTCAGGCATGTGGAAGACTCCTGTAGAGAGGTGTTTCATGTGGTTAGGTGGATTTCGTTCTTCTGAGCTTCTCAAGGTAAATCAGGCCCTTCCGTTCAACTACCATACTATGTTTAAAGTATCATTTCCTACAACAATATATCTAGTGTAGTCTTTACACAGTGGGATCAGAGGTAGAGAGCGTGTACAGTCAAGGAAAACAAATAAAAGAAATCTAGAAAAAGAAGTGATGGATATGAAAGTGTAACGACACATGTTGAACAGTAACTTCATCGAAATAATAATTGAAGGACAAGAAACTACATTAGTAACACTACGACCTAAGTGTCATTTCCGAGTAGTGTTTTATTTTCGTATACTGATGTGCTGACATTGGGAATACAGATTCTTGGCAACCATCTTGAACCGTTTACAGAGCAGCAGCTCATAGGCATATGTAACTTGCAACAGTCTTCTCAGCAAGCCGAGGACGCGCTATCACAAGGTATGGAAGCCCTGCAACAATTACTCATTGATACACTTTCGTCTACGTCTCTCGGCCCTAGTGGCTCGGGAAATGTAGCCGACTATATGGGGCAAATGGCGATTGCAATGAACCAGCTTGCCACTCTTGAGAACTTCCTTTATCAGGTAACTAACTGTCCTCTGTTCAAAGTACTTTACAACACTTCAAACTTTTCTCTATGCAACGAAATTCACATTTATATGCCTTCTTTATTGCTAGGCTGATCTTCTGCGACAACGTACTTTGCAACAATTGCATCGAATCTTGACTACTCGTCAAGCTGCTCGAGCCCTCCTTGTCATAAGTGATTACATGTCAAGGCTTCGAGCACTCAGCTCGTTGTGGTTAGCACGCCCCAAAGACCAACTCTAGTACGTCGTATTCATCTCTACAAGGTTCCTCCTTTTCGTAGTCATTTTCCTACACCTTTGAAATTGTGAAGATAAGTCATTATATAGTAAGTTCACAACTTTCAAAAGTCTTTCACTCGAAATCACACTATGACAGCATATAGTGTGATCTGTATACTATTATCTTAGCTTTAGCTATTTTCTTGTACTAGGTATGTCAGTTACCTATTTGAAGATAGTCCTTAGTAAAACGTTGGTCGTTGTATGTACAACTCTGTTGGTTGCAATTGTTGTTTGTTAATGAAAAAAACTTCATATATTCAGGTGATTACAATAACAATATATTCTGTGTAATTCTACGGTAGATCTTATGGAGACGTGCCTTTTAAATTCATAAATAAATCTAATAAATATTTTACATGGCTAATACAATACATCAAAACTTCATAATTTATTTTTGATGATTAAAACTATAATTATTGATTGATCAACAGTTTCCTGTTGACACTGGCTTGTATATTTTTCCTCTTTCAGTATTCTTCCTTCCTGCAGACAGAAATGAGAAAATAAAAAGTATAAGCCATAGAAGATATTCAAGGAAAAAATTGTTTAAATAAGACTAATAGACTGTGTTATCGAGGTTTTGGGAAGTCAAAAATATTTATTTTTTTTCTTGAAAAAAATATTTGAGGCGTTCGATCAAACGATCAAGAGAAAATTAGGTATGTAACTATAAATTATTTTAATATAATACAAGATAAAGGGGAACATACTTGATTTATTTCTTCTTCTTGATTTGACAATATGTGGAATAAAAACTCCTGTTCCATTTAACACTTCATCTCTATTTCCTTTACTCCATAAATCCAATAACCATTTTGGAACTTTATTATAATCCTCTTTATCTCCATACCAATAAAATTGAATTCCTTTAGGTTGTTGTAACACTAAAGATTTCATTTCTACTCTTTTTGAATTCTTGAATTGATCATTTGATTGTTGAACATAATCTTCTTCATCTTCTGTTGTTAGTATTAACATTTGTCTTCTTAACTCATCGTAAAAATCGTCACCTTCGAATTCGTCTCGAAGAGTCCCCATGTTTCTCTTGAATATTTCCATTGATGAATCTTTGAAAAAAAAATGTGTTCTTGATTTATTTATTTTTTGTATATTTTTTGAGTTTTGGCTTTGTATTTATAGAGTTTTTTTATATGTTTGTGGTCAAAGTTACTAGTGATAAGAATTTGGTCTTTCAACACGTCTGCAAGTGGAAATAAATCTAAAGAATATGTCCTATTTTTTGTATGTTAGTCAATGCTTGTATATTAACCTTAACCTTATATTATTTCAAGGAATAATGTTAAGATTTGTCCTTTTTTAACTCTACGAAAAGTTTTAATTTTATCATTCGTGGTAAGTTTGGCTCACTCATATCTTTACCTTTAGAAGTAGAGTCAGTCACAATTTGAAGCGTATAAGATTACTATTCGTGATAAGTTTAGCTCATTTAAAGAATATGTTCCGTTTTGTAAATTAAACACTAATTATTTTAATCAAAGATAACTTATTATAATGTTTAGTTGTTTACACTTTGAATTTTCGTCATTTATTTTGCTTAAATAGTCGTATATTGTTTGAATTTAGGTCAATTAATATGTATGAGTGGGCCCTTTATTCTCAAGTAAATTATTGTACTAGTCCACAAAGTTAAGAAAATGATACTTTACTCAACCTAGAAGGATTTGTATTTTTTTGACTTTTCAAATATGAAACTCTTCACCATTAATGTTTTCTACCTACTTGTGATAGGCAATTAGTGTTGAAAACAAATACTTGAAAAGTGAGTTTAGTATTAAAAGGTTTAAGTTATATATTTTCTCCGCTTCAAAATACTTGATCCGCATAATGAGAATAGTCATTTTGATAAACTTGTTTGATAGATTAAAGTCAAAAATAATTTATTATATTAATAAAATACATTTCTAATTAATATTTTCTTATAGAATATGTTGTTAACTGTCAACTCGAGTTAAATAATATAAAACGTAAGGAGTATATATTGATCATACTTGAAGGAAAAGAGGTTAATTTTACTCGTAAACTATTCGAAATGGTTTAGTTTATAACTCAAAATATCTCATCGTTAGTTAAGTAGCTCAAACGGCATGATGACCCTTGAAATGTTAGATTTTTAGTCACTATCGACTCTTGGTCAACTTTATCAACCAATATATTTTTCAAAGTATTACAATAATGTTTATTAATTGACACCATACAACTATACAATAAAAATCAATTAGAAGAATCATTTTTTGAAAGGTAATTACTAGGTAGATTATTAGTTTACCAATTTAGTTTGACTTGTTATTTGTTTTGTTAGTGGGACATCCAAACGCGGCATTATGATTAAATTTTAGTTTTTCAGTTATAAATATTTGGAGTTTTGTAAAAGTGACATTTTAGTTTTAAAATTATCTTGACTTGACTTTTAGCCGCCATTTATTTTATTTTATTTTTTTCCATGCCAAACTAATTTTATTTGTAAAAAAGGGGTATTTTTTCTTGGTTCTTTCTGCTTGCATTCCACTTCTTGGAATATTGGTACTTTATTTAAATCCACTCCAATTAATTAATAATTATACTTGTTGAAAATATCTTGGATTAACAGTGTTTAAATCCCTTGGTTATTCATAATTCTGATTATATTTTTTACGGTATTTGACTAAACATCTCTTTATAATAATAATATTAATGTAATTTCATAAGTGAATTCTAATTTCTAAAAAGTGTGGTGTATAGTTTTATCCTTGTCTTTGTGATGATAGATTAATAAAGTACATCGAAGTCTAGTATGAAAAAGATATACCGTAATGAAAGAATATGCTAAAAGTAAAGGAGAAGAGATTAATAGTTATAACAAATAATACTGTAAGAAAAGTAAAAAAAAAAACATGTTAGTAATAAATCGAAGAACAAGATAGTAAGAAAATAATAATAGCATATTGATAAGGAAGCTAAATAATGCTCGACTATGTGCTAATTATTTTCTATCTAATCATCAATCTCCATAACCTCTTATCTAAAATCACATAAATACTATATCATCTTACTATTTTAATTACTCGTATCTTGTGTTAATTTTATATTATTACTCCATATTAAACGGTAAAATAATTCTATAAATAGTAAAATATGACTATTTTCTATATGAAAGGACCAAAAAACAGACATTTTACTTCATTAAGAAAACTAAATTTGCTTAATATCATATATCAAAAAAAAAAAGGAATTCACCAATAACTTATGAATAAAAAATGCTATTATCCCAAACATCTTTCAATTTTAACCAATCTCAAATTATTATGTTATTGTATTGAAATAGTGGAATGACACTATAATTAATGGTTATAGAACGGATCCAAGTATTGAATATCAACAAATTTTGTTTAATTTACCACAATCAAATCGTAGAATTATTTTTTTAATGTAAAATAAATTTTATTATCTGGATTGAAGTCTTTGATTAATATGAATTTACGTTACATGAAAGGATGACACTATTAATTATTCTCCTCATATTTATAGAAACACATGTTTTAAATTATGCGATACAGTGATAGACATATGTACAAAATACATGTGATCAGTGATTAATTAATTATTATTTGCATATATAATAACAAATGTATAACTTGTCTGCTGTCCAGACATTAGTCTTCACACTTTACTTATCAATGATCTTAATTTCTCAGCAAGAAAATCTGTTGTTTCACAAAACTCATCATTCATCTGTTAAAAAAAAATATTAGGAGAGAAAATAAATATTATTATATATAACAAATTGAAATATATGAAACACCATGCAATTAATGTATTATGAATTATGATGTACTTCATTGACATTCACGAGTATGAGATAAATTATTTATAAATATAATATTAAGTAATTTGTTTTACGCAAATATAAAATTTCTACTAGAGATTATTGGTTTTTTTTAACCCGTAAATAGTTGATTCATTGTTACTCACCAACGAATCAAATATCAATATGAAGTTCATTCGGATAAACTGAATTTCACTATTTAAAAATATTTTCATCAAATATAAATTGACATGTAATCGAGCTATGGAAGTAGCCATTGTATTAGGGAAGACTTTCGTCTGTCTATATCGTAACCTCTAGGGTACAATCCTTCTTTGATTCTACTAACATAGGATACTTCGTACATCAAACGGATCTTTTATGTGTAATTGATAGATCAATAGTTAAATTTTGGGCATGTGCTTTCTCAACGAAAGTGACACACGATCCTTTCAATTTTTAATTTTGGTTTAAAGTTAAATGTACTTATATTCTACGCATAATATGTAAAAACTCACTTTGATTCATACCTTGTTTCTTATTAGATTCTTTGAAAAGATGAGAGATTGCTTCTACATTTAACATATGAACTCTCACTAAAACTCAAGAAATGAAATATTTTCATTTGCAATATCTATCCACTATATGCACCTATTAAGAAAAATTCAGTAAAATATATATAAAATTAATTCAAAATTAAGATGAATACGAGACTATAGAATTCATAAACATCAAATTCTATTAAATATAGTAGGAAGGAAATCAAACCTGAGCAATAACTGTGATATGCATTGAGGTGGTGCCAAATGGCATGAAATTGGTGGTCTTGATAGTTAAATGAAGTCTTTGGATCACACTTAATATTTCATCAATATTTCTTTTTTGTTGGTTTTTGTATAATAATATTGTAATGAGCAACTCTTTTTCTAAACTCTTTATTTCAACTTCTGGTAATAAATTATTCTTAGTCATCATGCCTATGGTAGATTGATGGTGATCATCTTCTTTTGCCCTTTCACCAAGTTGTCTAATGAGAGTGGCTGCTCCTTCAAGAATTGATGCCTTGTCCATCTATCATATAATAATTTAACATAGTTTCAATTAATGCGCCGATACAAAACGTTTAGAATATTATGAGCTCGAGTTTAAAACTATTTTTATGTATTTAGTGAATTTAGTAACAATACATATAGGGTTTGACTAAAATTATTATATCTGAATGAACAACTAATAATATATTGCATGCACTTGGTTAATTGAACGCCCCTCAAGAGTTTTGAAAATGATAAGGAACATCTTTTTATAGGAAGTGTAATGTCATTTTCCTCCTTGATTAAATGTTAGGTTATGAGATAATGTCAAATGAAAGGAATAATAACGAAAAGAAAGACCACATAGTTTTACGTGAAAAATATTTAAGGAAAAGAAAATTTACGGTCAGTCACTAACTCTAATTATTTCTCAATTAAAAATGATACAAATACATCAAGTGAATCACATTTATATAAATAACGAATAAAACCCTTATAACTTTAGTGTTCCTTAGATTGTTCTCAAATTATTCTACAAGTACTTTACGAACTATTATAGAATAGTTCACACAAAATCTTTATCGATCACCCTGCAACTAAATCCTTGAGTCATATACTATTATTTAAATTTTAATTAATCGAGTCAGTACGTACCTTGTTGAGGCCAGGAATGAGAGAGGCTAAGGAAACAAACAACTTAGATATCCTCTTTCTTCTCTTTCTTTCAGCCAACAAATGTTCAAGTGCTTGCTCCCCACTCCTTCTTTCTCCAAATTTTGCACCAATAATGTTATTAATATTTGAGAAACTTATAGTATTATTTGCCTCATCTTTTGGGATTGACAAAGAATTTTCAAAATTATTGTTGAAAGAAATTATACAAGCTAAAGAATTTGCCTTTTCATCTTCTTTTTCTTTATGTAGTTGTTTTCTTGATGACTCACCATTATTATGATGAGAAAAGATAAGAGCAAGATCATCCATTTTTTTGAGAGATTATTGGAGAAACTAAAGGCCAATTTGTATATTTTGTGTATCTATCATGACTTTGATTTATAGTGCTACAAAAAAGAATTTCATAAAAGGGAAGGTGCAAGTTGTTGCTTAAACGGCTATGATGTTACCCCTTAACAATATAAATATTTATAATCTAAGTAGCTATTTAATTTTAAATGTATATATATCTACTTTTAATTTGTATGAAGTGTTGACTTGACGCTCACTACAACATTTTTTTCTTTGTCCATCGTACTAAAATATGTCATGTATTTTTACCTATGTTATTTTTTCA